CTCTGAATAAAGAACTTCTTTCTAACAGCTCATCTAAAGCTGCCCTCTTTCAGTGTAAAACCACTTCTCCGTGTCCTGCCGCTACCTGCCGATATAAAAAGTCCCTGTCCCTCCTTTTCATGAGCCCCCCTAAGGTCCTGGAAGGCTGCAAATACAAGTCCCCAAAGCTTCTCTTCTCCACATGGAACAACCCCAGTTGCTGGATCCATGCTGAGGACCTGTGCAGTATTACACCATGGCATGCACCAGAACACCTATAATTTTGACTGTTAATATGAAATATAAGTCTTGATGCATTTTTGGTTGTTGGAACTCAGTTTCCTCTCAGTGAACTATGCAATGTTTTAGCAGAATTGTTACGGTAATGAAAACTTCTCAAGAGAAAAATAAACCAAAAGAAGAGAGGTTGATCATAGTTTTAAACCCATTATGACCAATTTTGGAAATCTGAAATTATACAAGTGAGGTCAGCATTTGAAATATTTGATTTAATGACCAGACAATTTTGATACATAAAAATAGATACTTAGTAGTGAACAAGTTTATACAAACAAGATTTCTTTTGTATAGTACAAAACAATGATGGAGATAAAAAAAGATTTGCTGGGTTACTGGGCAAGACACAAGAACAACAAAACACCATTGAATAATTTTTTTAAAATTATCAGTCTTATTTCATAAATACAGTGTAATGCTTTCATTTAACAAATACAAAATTTACTATTTAATTTATCAACATCAGGAAATATATAAAATGTCTTTGAATGACAATTTTATTTAAAAACTGAAGCAAATACAATAGCATTTTTAGAATTCTGAGGTAATATTACACATTATCTCAAAAAAAGCTTCAATAAATAAAACTGAACAGAAGGCAAAGTGCAATTCAGTGAAAAGGAGAAAAGATAAAGCTTTTATTTTAACAATAGTAGATAAATAGTTATTAAAAGCAGGTTTAAGCCTTAAAAAAATATTTTGGCTAATTTGCCATGTTTTCAGATAAACTGTATAGCTATTTATTCATAAGCCAACCTTTCATTAATCCAATTCTACAAAGAGAGGAAAGGCAGTAGGTCTTTGTTTCTGGGTTTCCTACTTGCAGCCACATTCAGGTGTTAGAAATTTAACATTGCTTGCAGCTATCTAGTTCATTCAGTGCAACAGTGAAAGCTTAATGTATTTCTCAACATCTGAAATCCTGCAAGTTAAAATTTATTTTAAAATCTCCATTTGGGAGATACAATGTAAAAATGCAGATTTTTTTTTTCAGTGCTGCTTTTAGCACGCTTTGTGCTAACCTAGCATAGTTCCAGGCTAAAGCCAATGGAAATTTCAGTACTGGTTTCAATAACAACACTATGAATACAATGTCAAATATTCTAAAATATCCTAATATTTATCTCTGCCTTAATAAAACAGTAAAATCACCAGTAACTTTTCTAGGATAAATAAAAAAGTAAAATTTACACTTAGCTATTGAAGAATATTCAGAACAGCTCTGAAAGCATGAATTAGACAGATTAATTTGTTAATAATTTCTAAATCTGTTGATTGTATGTAAATAATACAGAGAAAGAAAGAAGACTAATATAGTATTTGAGTACAGACACTACAAGGTAGATATGCATCCATGCCCCAGCAGAAGTCAACGGGGAAAGCTGAAAAATTCGATGCCAAAGTGCCTCAAATGATCTGGGCCTTATTCAGCTGAAAGAAAAATCTACAGAACACACAGTAACTGTCCATATTTAAAACTATTATACTGCATGCTGATAGATTCTTTCCATTTAATGAATAAAACCCAGACTTACAATCATTTCAGTATTTTAGAACCATTTTTTTCCCAGCTGCTAATTTACTAACTCAGAGCAGACATACCAAGAATTCTTTTCACAGAGTTTGTGCAGTGAAAAACACAAAACATTTTTAAATGCTGGTCTCCAAGTTAATGAAAGTTGCAACATTCTTCAGAAATGTTATTGTATTCACTTTTGTCACAGCTTATTTAAGACTTTCAACAAAGTTGCTGAAAAAAAAGGATATCATGATACACTATATCAGTTTTCCACAAGTTGTGAATATAATTCTCTTCCTAAAGCATTTCACCAGATGTGGAATTTATTTTAAATATCTAGTTTTGTTTACTATAATGCTACAGTAGATCTGGCTAGTTTGCTGTTAAGAATGAACATACAAATTCCTTAATACTTTTAGCGGGAACTTGAATCCCCTCAAGCTGAAAAAATACCTTTTAACACTCTTGTACAGTCAAGTGTAAAAGCTGAATATACAACATCTAAAACCTCTTATTCATAAAAAATAAATTTTTAGCAGTAAATGGCACTATCAAAATCCTATTTCTTCACAGGCAGTTATTTACATACTTCTTAGACAGCTGGTTTCACCAAGAAGGAAAACCAGAATAATAAAACTACATACATTTTATAAAGACTAAAATTCCTATTTGCCTTTGTGAAAAAAAAAAAGGCTACATGCTGATGTTATATTTTTTCTGCCACTGGAATTAACCAATAGAGAAATATTCTGTATTCTTTCTCCCAGTGGGATACCTTGATGGAAAAGAATTATGATTAATGATAAAGTGCTATTAAAAAAAACCTAACACTTGGGAGTTGTCTTAGGTGGGTTTCATTTATCTAACAGATTAACTTTTTGTACAAAGAAAGCTACTTTCTGTGACAAAGCAAGCAGCAAATGTATTGCCATTCAGGAAAAAACATACACTTCATTTTTAATTAAAAAAAATCTAAATGCGATAGAACTGGCGCAGTATCAAGAGACGTAACAATGAAAAGCTTAAAGGCACAATCAGAAGAGAGTGAATGCTACATAAAAATGCTGTCCTTGGAGGATTTAATCTTATTCCAGACCAAACCCCTCTGCATTTGAAATTCCAATTATTAACTTTTGCTTCAGTTCCTTCTTGTTCTTGTAAGGAGGGAGACAAAGCTGGTTGAAGCAGGTATGGGCCACAGGTAACCTAAAATAATTTTAAAAACACCCAGCAAAACACATTTAAGAATAATACCACAGAACCAGAATGCTGCCAATTGCCTATATATTTTCAGTTAAACATTTCTTAAATAAGAAATCCTATAAAAGAAACATTTATCCCAATGTTGGTTCAAGTTCTGTTGAATGCAAGTAACACCATTGCTGGCCATAAGTACCTCAGATGAATTTTTTTGCTTGCAACTCTTTTCTTCCTCTTTATTTTTTATTTCAGAATTGGAAACATCTCCTTCCAGATTTTGGAAACTCCAGGTACCACACAACTTGTCTAAACACAAAATCTGGGTATAGTAAGAATCCACAACATGGAAAAGGAAGGTGGGTCCTACAGTAGGTACAGCCACACATGGAAGAACCACAGTTCTGTGTCTGTGAGGATACAGAACTCAGGGCTCAGTCTGGTAAAACAGGTCCTTACAGACTTCAGTGGGGAGCTCTGAAGAACTGACTAAAAAGCTGGAAAAAGAACACTTCACAAATTCTGGTCTCAGCTATATCAACACTTCCAGGTTTCTTCTGAGAGAGAGCTTGAATATATGTACTGCAGCTATGGCTAAGGAATGCCCGACTGAAACACTGCAAACTTTGTTTCCCACTAGAATGGATTAATTTGATGAGCCACAGGTAATAAAAAGTTACAGGAATTTCTTGCCATTTAAATTCTCAAGTGACATGGAGGACACAGCTGACAGCTGATAACTTAGGGGGGAGACAGGAGAAAGACAATGAGCTGAAGCTCAACCTGCCATTTGGAAAACACCCTCAAGAATGTATTACAGTTGGACACACATATTTAGTTATGTGAAATGACTGAAAAGCCCTCTAGGTCTCTTTTAATTTCATCCCTTAATCTTTTGAATGGCACCAACTTGGCCATTCCACTGGTGGAACCCCCAGATCTGGAAACCCAAGTTACTTTTCCCCTCTCTGCCCTTTATATGATCAGCACAGATCTGTTAATTGCACTGGAGTCATAGCTTCAAAATTTGGAAAGTTGAGAAGCTTTTATTAAATTTGCCAATTTTTGTTGCTATTACATTCTTTGATCCTATTTTGTGAGCAATATGATGATGGTGTCTACATTTATCCCTGTGCAGGCAGTCTGACAGCAACAATTATCTTGCAAAACATAGACCTACAACAGTTTAAAATGCACACTATTTTAAAACACATTTTCTCATTTTTAGAAAAAGAACAGTTTACAGAAAGAACATAAAGAGTGATTCAATGTTGACTGATTTTTCTTCATTTTTCATCTGATCTCCATGTTCCTTTAATGTTGCTGGAACCAGTTATTACTTCATTGAGAAAAGCATTAGAAATATCACAGTGATGAGATAAATTAAAACAACCTCAAAATTTATTATGCTTATGCCTTTAGATCAGCTCTTCACAGAAAACCCAGCAAAATGCAGATTTTGAAAAATATAGTTCCATTTAAGTATTTAAGTATTTTGATTACTTGACGTGTTTGAGAAATCTAGGTAAAGTCAGTAATTATTGCTTCACAGTGAACTTCAGAGCAGCAAGTTTTTCTATACAGCTTTCAAATTATTTAAATTTACTTTCCCCAGTCTTAAGAATTAAAAAAAAAAACTGACTGACTTGCTGTGAATAATGCCACCAACTCAAAAAATTCAGAAAAATTTATGGCAGTTCAAGGTATGTTTTCATTAGGTCAGCTTTCATGTTAGGAATGATTAAATAAGTAATTTATTTGAATTGAAAACACGTAAATAATCCCTATAAATAATTACCAGCCTTATGCTGACTGAAAAATAATTTTCTTGTTTTTTAAATTTATGCAATCAATAAATGGGTATAACATTTTGAAGGCCTAAAGGAGTCCATGCAGTTTCTTCCTTGTACATTTGTTTGCTCTTCTGTGAAAAGACATTCAAGAGCAATAAGGGCTCTCGGGAAAAAAATTAATGAAAAAAATTTTAAAAATCCAAAACATTACTTACCAATTAGTGGATGTTTCACTCCTTGAAATCTTGAAATTCAGATCAGCCATTCCTCCCACAGGTACTCTATCACTTCCTGTAGCAAAATGTAGCAGCTTCTTTTGAAGATCCAGAGAAAATCCAAGTACTACATCCCAGAAGTATCTGTGCTCAGGGCAGAGGGAAAAGAAACAAGATGCAACATCATAAAAAATAGTATGCAGATGATAATAAAATTGCAAGTATTACATGATGAATATCACTTACTGAGAGTTTAATTAATATAATCTATAGGACATCAGCAGTACTCCAATATACAAGGTTAAATTCCCAAGGAATTGATAAGTACAATAGTTTATAAATTAAGGAATAATGTCTTGCCAAATGATGCCCCAACCCACTTCCACTTATCTACACAAATATAAATGCCTTCTACTCGCTAATATAAATGTCCCTAGTATCAAAGAGAACTGAGTATAAAAAGTATTTTTAGAAGATTGGATAATAAAAATGAGATTTCATATACAGGATTTGGAGATTTTCTTTTCAAACTATTCCACTTAATGTGGTCTTAATCTTTGAAGGACATTCTCTAAACACATACCATTAAGGATCTAATTCTTCCTACTCATGACAATTTAGAAGGGTCTTTGTCTTATTTAGAAATAGGTTTCTAAAACTTCAGTCATTCTCAGGTTATCCTTGAAGAGATTACTGCTGGAAGACTAACATTCCATGATGTTTAATCTCAGTAACTAGAATAAAAACCCAGGCCTACCTTATAGTCATATCAGTTTTTTGGTAGCCCTCATATTGGGTACTTCTCTGTAAAGCAGACATGTCCAGTTCAGGACTGCCACAGACGAGAATTTCAACCTCCTCTGGACGAAGTAGCTGCCAAAAATCAAGGACAAAATACTTAATTTTCAAAAAAAGATGAGAAATTATGCTACTAGAATATTTTTTTTATTTTGTCATGACAGAAAAATTAACAGAATATCATTCAATGTAAGTCTCTAACTGGGATACATACTGATTATAGAAAAATGAATCCCTCAGCACTTTGAAGACTCTCCTGCTGCCGTATATAGTAGAAAGGTAATTACAGATTAACACAATATTTCAGCACACTATGTTCTTAATTTCTTAATCATTCTTACATTTATTACACCTGCTTGCCTATCATGTGATCAGACTACAAATGGGTCAGGAAGAAATTAAATTTGTACCTATGGAAATCTAAGGGAGGGTCTTGATGTAAATTTGGTTTCAAGTTCCATTTCATTTGCACTGACAATCCCAGTGTGGATAGCTGAGCAGCAGGGGCTGACAGAACTTGACTCTCAGTTGTACACACTGCTGTGCAAAGCCAATACTTCTAACAATAAGCTATGTTTAATATCCACTAAATTTACACCTGCAGAATCCACTTATTCATTTACTACAACATCATCAAGTTGCATAGACGTATGCTATGGCATTTCAATGGATTCTCATTGTCCTTCCAGAACCTTCCCTGAGGCTGGGCACCCCTCACTTTGCTGCATGGTGTCACAGCTCATCAGTTTCACTGAAATTTAGAAAATCCTTGACAAATTGAAACTTTTGTCTTCTTTCTCAGTGCATAAGGGATGCTGTAATTTAAAAAAGTAATTCCAACAGCCAAACAGGACTGAAAATAAAAGAATGTTTAATCTCAACCTCACTGAGTGTTCTTCCTGCAAAAAGCAATTTATGTTTTCAGAGGAGTCACTCAGGAACACTCAGGCACAGTTGTTCTGCAGTTCCTAAATGCAGGGAATACACAGAAACCTTGTAAACCTTCACTGGATAGCCTGTGATGTGTCTGTGAATACACAGTGATAAATCCTGTCTTCTGGAGCTCTATTTATCTCTTTTAAATTAAACACTACAGAGAATAGTTGATTACCTGATTAATTTCTTCTACTGACACTGGATTAATCAAGTCTATCAATCAGTCAAGATTCTTTCCACATCTTAAAATCATCCAGTGCAATTTAATTTAGATAACTCATTGTTAAATACTTGAAATAGAAGTGAAGAGTTATGTTTCACTTATTCTTACCAGTAATGCATATGAAGCACACACACTATGAAATCCATAATAGAAAGCTGCAAACTGTTTGTAGATCGATCTATTGAGAAGAAAATCAACATAGAGCTGCACATATTCTAAAAAAAAAAATAAAATTTTGTTACATTATAGCAATTTAAATTAATAACTTGTTCTGCCCTCTAAAATTGTAGCAAATATGAATTAATTAATGCATTTAGTTTTAGATACCATTAAATTGATAGGCATACCAGAAAGAACTCCAGCCATTTCATTGTTACATTGTTTATGAAAGCATAGGTATATAGAAAGGACAAAAAGGACAAACTTAAATCTGCAAAGTATGTGTGGTTAATATACAGAAATTACCTTTCCTATTCCGATTTGTGACTGGAATTTTATCTCCATTTGGCTTTAAGTTGTAAGATTTTATAACACCAAATTCTTCTTGAAAAACCTACAGAAAAAGAGGAGTCAAGGTCAGCACTGGAAAATAAATTAATATACTTAGAAATGACAAAGCTTATATTATGTCATGTATATACTTAGAAATGACAAAGCTTACATTATGTCATGTATTCCCTTCCTCTCTTCAGCACATGCTGTAATTCTGAGGGTTGTGAGATTTTTACAAGTTAGCTATTACAGTTTTCAACAAATTTCTCAGAAAATTAGTATTCAAAGAACAAAAATTGACTCTGTTACATAGTGGCATGTCAAACTGACCTGCAGGCTCTGGAGCCAAAGAGCTTTTCATACAAAAGAACAGCACAGAAGCAGCAAATAAAATTAAGAAGGTATTTGCTCCTCTGTAGTTCACCTAGGAACTAAGTACCACCAATTTGAAATTCCATTAACTCATATGTTCGTGTATTCTGAAACAAGGAGTAACTGAAAAAGACTTTCATGACTGAAATAGCAGTTACAACACACAGGTCGGGCAAAACTGTAAAAACTTGAACAAGCTATTGCTGAAGTGAGATTTCTTGAACAAAATGTAAAAAATAACCAAGTAAACTTTGACTATCTTCTGGGTTAGACAGAGAAGCAAAGAGCTGGAGATGCACCGGCAGCTGGCCAAGTGACCCTGGTGGTGAGCACTGGGACCCACCTAGAGGGTCAGGGAACAACAGCCTGGAGTCAGCACAGAGCCGAACACGCAGCGGCAGCGCGGCTCCTGGAGCCAGCTCTGGTCCTGTGCAGTCATATTCCAAACAAGCAGCAATCACACTGCAAGAAACCACTCCACTGCCATTCTAACATGGGAAAAAAATCACCAAATGAGGTTGAGAACCACTTATAGTTGGGCATTTAATGACCTGAAAGGTTGAGTAAAAATCCTCTTCAACATTGCCTTCATAGGATAGAAGTTCACTTAGTCCATGCGCCAATTCCTAAAATATGAGTAAAAAACTCTTTAGTAAATCTACAAAACTAAGTGATGCACTTTGCAAGGATAAGCCAGAAGCATTGTTTTACACAGAAAGTATATTGGAAAAAGCTGTATTTTTAAAATGCATGCTATGCTAGAAAATGCAGAGATTTTCTGTTTCCATCAGAAGACTTTATCAGCCTGTGCTGAAAATAAGCTTTTTTCAAACAGTTGGTAAGTCAAGCATCAAATATGAATAAATCAGGTTTTAGATCAGTAATTTTGCCTCTTGGAAAATGTAATACTTACAGGCATAATCTGAAACAGATCATCTAATGTGACACCACAGATGCCTACAAGTGTGTTGTGATCACAGGGAACAATGGGAGGACTCAATAATTTCTTGTAACAGCAAGGTGGGAAACGAATATCCAAGGTAATACTGTTATATACAGCAAGTCCCATAAGCTATATATGTCAAAAGTTAAGGGCAAATATGACACATCATGAAAAACACTATAGATAGTATTTTTCTAGCTTGGAAAAAATATTTTAAGGTTCATGCTCAACAAACAGAAGGCATGTAAATTATTTCATTGTTTCTGGACTGACAATTTTAAATTCAGTTTTCATTACAATTAAGCAGTGGTTAGCATGGTCAAATGATGCACATTGACAGAATGCTTGAGAATCTTCTTCATAATATTCTATGCAAACATTTCTATCAATTTTTCCAAAGTATTGTTTTGAGAACTATAAAGATAAATATGTATTTTCTAGTGAGAGATCAATAAAGCAATGTTTCTTTTAAATAAATCTAAAAGCATTAAGACATACCTGCACTGGTACTACAGTTTATCCACTAGCACATTTAAGTACATCCCATGAAACAAATTTGCAACTATCCCAATTTGATTCTCACAAGAACAGAATGGACCTGGGAGAACAGCCACCATCTGATCCAAGTGCAATCAGTTAATAGGCACTATTATATCATCTCAGTGCAGTTATAAGCATATACTATCATAGTTTGCCTGAGGTCTTCATTTATAAGCACAACAGAAAATCTAGAAAATAAACTAGTGCTCAAAATAGCATGTGGCTTTCCCATTTTGTAATAAAAAAGGCAAAAAGCCACATACTGCTCAATGGGAACTTAAATGAACTATACACAGACACAGGCACATTGATGTTTACTGAAAGAGACTCCGAGGTTTAAGTACATAGAAAATTACAATTTATACACAAAAAAGCTGCATGTTTAATATTGACGTAGCATTTTTGACTGTAAAATGTACCACGTACCCCCACACCACCATTTTCTTCCTATTTTTAGTTCACTTGCTTGAACGATATTCAAAAAAATACATTTTAAATGGAACATAGGTGTACATACAACCTTTGAAGGAGCTTGAGCCAGTGCCTTATTTCTTCCCCACGCCACTCATTGAATGTCGTTCAGAACATTCTAGTGGACATAAAAGGATACGGCTCCAACCAGTCGGAATTCTGAGTAGTTGTCGCATTTAAAGCTGCTGAACCAGTGGCACTGCGAGTCCTTGTGGTAGGTGAACATGCCTGCAGAACAGTAACATGGCCCTTAAAAAGGCACTGAGCTTTGTAAGAATTTTACAAAGCCTCCTCTTTCCTACCCATTCCCCCTTAAATGCTGCTGGGGGTGCCCACATCCATGCTTGTTCTCAGGACTCTGTTCCCACAGAGCAGGAGCCTGTTTGGGCAGGAGCACCAAGAGCAGTGCCAAGCCTGTAGCAGGCTCAAGCCCACCAGCCCTGCTCAGTGCTGGTGCAACGTGTTCTTCAGGGCCTCCAGCTGTGGATATTTTGCATTTTCCCTATGCAATCTTTTTCTTCATTGCACTCCAGCATTGGTACTGCCATAAATATTAACTGTCTAACTAAAAATTTTCTTACTGCAATGTAAAGTCACTTACTTCCTCCTCTCTTTCTAGGTCAATAGCAGATGACAATCCCGAAAAATGCTGGCATGAATCCCATGATACAAATACCGTAAGTTTACCTTATTAGAATAGAAAATTGTAAATGGTTTATGTTATACACACACTACCAGCAAAGGGATATGTTTCATATTCTCTGTCAAAAAATCATACCAGAAAAGTTAAAAAAGCCCCAAACCACACGTACCCTAAAAAAGCTGCTCATGACAAGCTATTTCCTACTGAAATCATAAGTATAGATGAGTTTGACTGCTATTTGTGTCAGATACAGAACATTCTGTTTTAAAGAGTGACAGAAAGTAAAAACCTACATAATAAAAGCAGATAACAGCTCTAAAATGCCTAGGAAGTATTGCTCAGAGAAGTAAGACACACTCCACATAAGCATGCTTTAATGCAGAAGTAAACTGGATAAAATGTGATGGCCTTTTTGAATTTGTTGCGACTGAATGGACCAGGTTTATTATTTTTGCCACGGTCTATACACACCAAAGCACTGACTAGTTTTCAGCACATCTCATAAGCAAAAACTCACTCTATTTCTCTTTGAAGATGAAGTTGGTGAAAAATAATATTTAAATTAAGAAAAACCCAAAGTCCTTTTGGAAAAAAAAAAAAAAAAGTAAAGAAATTCCAACTTTGCTCAGGGACATCTAGTTCTTATGATAAATTACAGGCAAAAAGCTGCCTCCATATTCCCTCCTCCACTCTCCTGAACAATTTATCTCTTGAGTTGCAGCTCAAAAAGGTGCTTATCACAAAAGGTTTAGACACTGCCATTAGACATTGCCAGAAGTAACAGTACAGCTGCATGTAAGGCAGAGCAAGGTTCACATGCTAAAAGATCATAAGGATGCTGAAACAAAATAGATTTCGAATCCCATTTGTTCATTGTCCACACCAAGATAAAGAAAGCATCGCAAAACACACAGGCAGGCAGACAGCTGACTTAATTCAGTTGTTAAATTGCAGGAGTTAAACCTGAAGAATCAGTTAACCTAGAAAGGGTAATAGCAGTGACATTTTCCCTTCCAAGCTTCCTACATGTTATTTGCATCTTAAACATTAAAGACAGTAGAGGATACAGTCCCTTTCCAAGGGACAAGAATATTTCTGAACTCCTCCCACACTTGACTGATAGTCGTAACAATGAAAGAATTTGCAGCTTGAAGTAAGGAAGCCTGCCAGAGATAGTGAAAAAATAAATTCCTCTGAATGTTTCCAAACTCATCAGTTACCAAGCTCTGCTGACAGCTTTTTTACCAATGGAACTGTCAAACTTACAGAATGCTTTCTGCAGGATAAATTGTTTCCTATGAAGGTTGCTATCACCAATGCCATGTCTTCACACAGACCCCTTTTTAATGGAAAAAGGGCTACAGGCAAATATCTCAGCAGATATTACGACATAGTTACGACTTAAAATTCTGTACCTTTAGAAGTAGTCCTATAACCAATAAAGGACCATGACTTTAAGGGACATGAACACTTCCAGGCAAAGACAGGCAAGCTCAATGACTATCAGGTGTTATGCTCAAGTCCCTGGAAATCAATTTAAAAGCCATCCTGGCAACACTTTAATGCACTAAGTCATCAGTAATGTAATCAGTAATGCACAGAGGAAAGCTCATCAGAGTGGTGAATAAAACACACCCAGATCCATCTACATCACTATAAAACAAGTGGATAGAACTGCTTGTTTATGACTGCTCATTCATGTCTTGCAATCTCCTATTTGATCAAAAAGCCTTATTTTTTTTCCCCTTGGGCATGAAATGCCCTTACAGGCTCACAAGTCCTGCTAACAGCAGAGGCAGGTTTTTTCATTCAGGCTCACACCTGCCTATACTGTCTCTGCTCCTGACTGGAGGACCATTCTTTTCTGAGATTCCCCCAGACCCCTTTAAGAATACTGACTACATAGATAGCATAAACAGAACATATGATGACAAATAAAAACTAACCTCTACGTATCCTAGTCACAGAAATAGCACTAGAACATGCAGGCACTCTCAGTGCAACTATCAGCACCAAAAAAAATCCCCATTGATGCATGGGAGACCAAGGTTGGCAGTTTGTCAGAACTGAGCATACTAACAGCACCCAACTGCAGCTACTGACAAAACCCAGAAAAACTCCCTCCCTAAACTAGCAATATGAAGATAACTGAGGGCAGAAAGAAAATGCAGCATGTGAAGAAATAGGGAAGGATGGTAAATGATAAACCAATACATTTGGCCTTATCTCCACTTGAATATTTGCTAAACCATTGACCTGTTTTAGGCTGAGATAATTTCCTTCATAGCTAATAGTTAAGCTATTAGAAAGTTTATGCTTTGGATTTGTGCTGAAAACAGTGTTTATAATGCAAAGACATTTCCATTATTGCTGAGCAGTGCTTATACAGAGTCTGAACAGATTCTCACAATCTACTTAAGAATCACGAGGACTCACCATAATCTGGGTGAAAAATCTGCCGAATCAGAAGCAGAAACCATTCCTTTGTCAGGCCACCCATATCAAGACCAGCTTCTCCTACAAATGTGACTTTCAACTTCTTTTTCAGATCTGCCTTCTTCCTTGCTAGCTATTGTGAAATAGGTAAGGCAGAAGAAAAAGGAGATTTAACATATTATCACTACCACTAGCCATAGAGAACACACCTCAGCCTCTACTCTATTGCTCTTGCTTTGCTTAAACCATTAATTTGCATAACTTTCTACTAGTAGGTCAAAACTATATTAAGACAATGAATTGCAGAAGCAAGACAATTATGACTACTTGACATCATCAACTACTTTGCATATGGTGTCACTCGCTGGGCTTGAAAAGAAGTTAGGTGGTGTACAAACAGGCTTAATAAGCAATTAGATATAATGAATTGAGTTTGTCTGGAATATTTCAGATCTATATAATTCTTCATCTTTTACAGAAGATGGGCTACCAGGAGGAAATGACAAATTTAAAAAGTACTTAGACATAATTTGGAAATATTTAGCAACAGGGAAGTAAGCTAACACTTTCAATATTTGGACACCATTTGGTTCTGTGTAAGATGCCTGCCAGCAATTATCAGCTGCTTTTTAGAACTATTTTTTAGACAATGGTAACAAGCTCTTTTCACTGCTTTGTCCTAAGAGACAGCACTTCATGCAGGTACACAAAAAATCTGCAAAGAATTAGATTACAGTCTTTTACAATTAACAGTGATCTTTCAGACTGAGTCTCTATATAAGCTTTCTTTAAACTATTAATTACTGTCCAGCATCAGAGAAAGTGTTAAAACCAGCCAAGAATATATATGTGCTAAAATAATCTCCATGTTGCTAGTTGCTCAAGTAAATTCCTATTACATAAATTTTATAACTGCAGGTATTTGTGTTATTTGAAACAAGCTATTTATTAGTTAAAGTGATTTTCCTTTGCAAATTTTTTAAACTTGAAATACAAGTAAGACATCTTCCCTCTCCACCTGCCATTCCCCATACATTTGAAAATATGAATATAATACGTTCTTACTCATCTCTGAGATGGGTAGAAGAAAACATTGGAAATAAACAGGAGAATATTTAGACTATAAAAACTTTTGAATTTGCTCTTGGTTATTTTAGTGTGGTTAAAAAAATGATAATGCCTGAGAGAAAGCAATATTACCAATCATATTTCTTTTGTTTTAGGAGAAAAGGCAAAAATAGACAGGTTTTAATATAGAAAAATAAAGTTTAAACTTATATTTTATGACATGAATAATCAGAATTTATTTGATGCTGTTTTCACTGCCTGGACTTATTTTTCAGTATCATCAGGCTGTTCTCAATGTTGAGAAAGAGAGGGAATTAAATTTCACTAAATAATGTTAATTAGCAAGGTTCAGTGGATACTGAAGAATTGCCTACTTTAATGGACACATCTGTTTCATTCCTAAAAAAGGAAAAAATACATTGAAGACTGTGATGAATTAGTTAAAAGAATTTAAGAATAGAAAGCTGAAAATTATTCTTATAGGATAGAGAAGGAAAAGAATAAAAGTATTCAAAAAATTAGAACAGAACAACCTCATTCGTGATTAGTCACATACTATTCATGTGGCTATAAAGGAATCAAGTTTTACAGAAATTTATAATTGTGCATTGTATTTTTAACAGAAAAATTGGAAATACAAATACAGACCATGTGCAAGCATGTATGTTTGTCATGGGTTTAGCTATGGAGCAGTATGAGCACAGGAAATTAATTTCAACATGTCTAACCCAATCTGTTCTGCAGCACTACAACTTTGAAAGTTATTAAATTACCTTTATTTAGTATTATGTAGCTATATTCACAATCTCTTAGTGCAAAAGATTTAAATATGACTTGTCAAATTGAAATCTAACAACTCTACAGCAACACACGATTTAGTTTTATGTTTGTGTTACCTCATCAAGTGAATCACTAACAAGGTGTGTCCTCCTCACTTTCACATTTAGGAATAACATATTCATGTCAGGCTTCTGTCTGCGAGAGACTTTATCCACAAGGCTTTGCTATTTGACGGAAAAAGAAACATCACACATGCAGTATCCTCATTTGAAAAAAAGGTGTCACACTTTTTAACTCTAAAAAGGCGTCAGTATCGCGTATTGAAGACATTTCTCTAACACTGTAACTGCTTCAGTCTCTTCCAGGAGATGAAGAGCAATTTCTTTCCTACTCCAGATACCTTCCACACTACATTTGAACTGAAGTCTTGGGAGGTTGAACAAGAAGGCAAGGTGGCACTTCCCACCTTGTTAAAAACATACCCATAAGATTCTGGAAACTGGCTTATGCTTTAATTAGTTATCCACAAGGTATATCCAGCAAGACAGGAACGGATATGTGGTGGTGCTGCCACACGGGGCACTGAGGAAAGGAGTACCACCTATCACCTATAGCAAACTAGGACTGAGGGAGGCAGACAATGCCTCTCTCCAAACACACGAGGCTGCTCAGAAGCAGTACTTCCTCCATGACCTGAAAGGATACAGCTGAATCTTGGTCTTGCAGGACAACACACCTCCACAGAATAAAATACAAAACAGTTCAAAATTCTCATGGAATTTTTCTTCCTCAATCATTACGTTGATTTAACATGCTAGTATGTTATGCTGGTTTCTCAAAGGAGGAAAAAATTAAATCAATACTATAAGTTATTCTCGAAAACACTGCCCTCTGTAAGGATCCTGAAACTAAGTACACAAAAAGAACAAAATACTCAGAGAACCCAACATGAACATATGTACACTATTCATAGTAAAATGGTTTAAGCTCTTTTACAGGGTAGTCAGAAATACTAGAAGTTGTAACGAGAGGTCATGTGCAGTGTCAGTCTAACAAATACTCATCAAATACCAATGGATGAGACATAAACATTTATCATTGAGGGACTTACCCGTGCAATACTTATCATTTGTTGTTCGGAGTCCCTTTGAATAATAACTTTTTTTGCTGCTATAGAAATAATAAACGGGTATTGACAGAAAGAAAACCTAACAAGAGAAAAGAAGATTAAATATTTTCTTTCTAGCATACTATTTTCATTTTAAGAATATAGGAGTGAATTATCATTCAGTAAATAATTCCTCCACTGACAATAATTTGCAAATAGCTGCTGTTTTTTTCACTTTGTATACAGTGATACTTGACTCACTAGAACAAACTGTTATAATAATAATAACTTCTAGTTATTGCTAGAAAATAGTAATATTTATCTTTTCTCATCTGGGTTGTTTTGTGGTTTGTTTTTTTTTAGTTATGTTTTTTTTTCCTTCTCAAGTAGAATATCAGGTATCAGACAGAAGAGTAGCCTGAAATACCTGATTCAGTGGTGTAAATTATGGTCTTCAAATTTTCCCCAACTGCTGCTGAAGGCAAGGAAAATGCCTATGAATGTACTGGAGGCTAAAATATGTCTGTAGTAAGACACAGTCAGAAGTCTATGCCAATAATTAATAAACTTACTTTATTATTAACAATATTTTACATATTTTCTCTAGTTTGCAAAGGCAGAATGAGATTTATTTCAGACAATCTCACATCCATGCAGTAGCAAGTAAGTAGTAGCTATAAGATGTTTTTACAATAAAACAATACAGTATTTAACGTGGATCTAGATAGACATAAATGGTGTGCATACATACACAGACACTACATATCCACTACATTGAATACAGATATACATAGCATAGATGCAATGTTTTGAAGTACTACTCAACACGAAACAACCAGTAATTCCTCTTACCTGTGAGAATTCCCATAGCATTGCCAGTTATGATATTCTTCCATAAGATCAATATGATCAAGTGTAGAATTATAGAAATCCGTATATGAAATAATAGGAGGGCTAATCAGACTATTTGCAGCATCTACAAAGAAAACACAAAGTCTTTTAATATAATGTGTAGATTCAGCACATTTCATTTCTTGGCACCATAAGCACCAGTGATCTCAAAGTCTTTAAGCCAAGTCTAAAATAATACAAAACATGAATAACTTAGCTCAGTCTTAGCTACAGAACTATAGCTACAACATAACACTATATAACATCACATTAATTGCTGTAGAAAACAGTAAGTCCCTAGTTAAGCCCAGTTATGATAAGGGAACCTCAGTCTGACTCTGGTTTCCTTACTGACATACACTAAATTAAGGTTTTATGGATAAAGGGTGCTATGTTCTGATGAAATGGATGAAAAAGCAGTTTGATAAATGGAAGTGGTTAAGAAATCCATATAATTTCAAGCATCTATGGCTAGAAAATCTACATTTTTTCCAGTATACCATCTAGACCTGCACAAAAATTAAGTACTTGATCAAGGGAAGAAACCCAATTCACATTTAAGCAATCTCATTATATAATGGCATTCATAAAATGTCCAAGAGCTACTAAGTTTTCTCTATTTACACTTCAGCATAATTTATTTTGGATCAATCAGACACAAACTAGTGTCTTTTGATTGACTAAATAACTCTCTTTCCAGAATTAAGGAACATGCAACTCTTTCATAGATGACTATAAACACATCTTAGGTTTAGATACAGGTGTGCTAATGTGCCTAACTCTGGACAGATACAGGTGTGCTAATGTGCCTAACTCTGGACAGGCAGGACTGTGCAGAATACTTTTATCTAGAAGTTTTGAGTTGACAGTGAAAACATCTTAATTGCAATTTTAATTTTCATCTGGTGGTTTCACCTTCTCCTAAAACAGAGAAAGTAAGTGCTCTTATCACCACTTGGCAGCAGTTAAGGTTTACATTTGCTGTGCTCTGTGTTGAACTGAGCAGGGATTTACTTTTTTTAAGCTGTAGTTTTGGACGTAAGAGGCACATGTATTGCCTAACTTCCTTTAGATGTTAAATAGTTCTGTGGGGGTAGGTGAGTTACAAAAGAAATTCTGGCAGCTACAAGTTTAAGATAGTTTCTTTTATAAATCTAAGGGAAACCTTAACCATTGGTTACTTCTGTGAATTTCTGTTTGAACAATCTTCAGTTGCTGTCATGGGAAAACTCTGCATAGCAATTACCCACTACCGGAAAGCAAGTAGGAAGACTTGCCAACAGAAGACTCTTGCTTACTACATTTTAGCATTTTATTGTAGTTTGTACTGTGCCACCACCATTACCAGTCTCCTCCAGAAGAGGAGCAGTAAAAACTATCCTCTCACAGTATGCAATCGTGTGTGTGGTGTGTGTGTATATAAGACAAACCCTATATACACACACAAATATACATATAAAATCATATACATGCCCACACAGTTCAAGAGGAATACCTACTAAATAAAGCCAGGACTTTCGCTGCTGATGGAATCCACCAGGTACATTTCACCATAGGTGGAAATTCTTCAGGTTTTGCAGGAAACAGCCGTAAAGAAATAAATTGCAGTAACCTGTCCACCACCTGCTTGAACCTCCTCTGTGAAATCCTAAAACAAACATGCTGCACTTACTTTCATGTGATCACTGTCTACACTAGAGTTAGTTATCAAATTTCAATGCTTTTAAAAAAGCTACTTCATTAAAATTTTTAAATTCCATTTTAATTGTTTAAATTAATTTTTTAAATGCTTTTTTCCTGTACATAAAAACAAAATTCCAAATGTAAAGTTTGAAGAAGCATGCTTTCAAATATTGACACATGATAATTCTCTTCAGTGCACCCCTAACTATGCTCTTTAAGTCTGGGGAAAAATAAAAAGAGCAATATAAACATTATCTATTCTTGACTTATAGTGAAAAAACAAAAGTACTTTTCAATTTCACTCCACACTCTGAATACTGAGGAATTCTGATTTATTTTGAGATACCTGGTCCTTTTAAATAAAAAGTGGTACATGCTTCATATGCTTGTGCCTTGTGCACATTTTAAATTACACGTTGCACCACTTCCATAATAGCACAACAATACACATGTATGTGTAGACAGTTAAAATAGACTTTTCTAAACAAGAGCGCTCCTATTTTAATGGTTTACATCTCTAATACATGCTTTAAGACTAAAAATATTGGTATGTCTATTGCATCCTTAACCAAAAGTGGAAACCTCATTTGTAAATGTAGCTCCAATGAAGTAAAATTTTACCACAATTTAAAGCAAATCTGGACACAGGAAGAGGGATGGAAATTGAATTACCATTCTTGCAGAGAAGAAAATTCTTAATTAAGATTTCCTAGGAGAATTGGAAATGGCAAATGTGGCCAAACTTTGTTTTTACCTCCAGCAGAACTTTTTGCTCAGTCAGTACATGGAAGGCAATCTGCATACAAACTTAGGAGCTGCTCTTGGCCAGTTACACCCATATAACTGTTTCAGTGAGGTGCTATTAGAGTTATTTCAATTAATTACAAATCTAATGCCCTAACCACACACTCTCACCACCTCTATTGTACTAGGAAGCCAGGTCTCTAGCTCCATTGTGGTTTCTGTACATTACAGCAACATTACAATATCTTTTGCAATGTACGCCAGATTAAACTTCATTTAAACAAAGATCATAAAGATGTTTGTTTTAATAATACCATGTAAACATATAATTAAAACTTTACACACAAGTTATTTTGCACGTTATCAAAAAAAAAACCTCTAATAAGTAATTTTGCAATTAAGGCTTTTTTGCAGAAGAATAGTAATTTTTATACATTATGTACATTTTGCATCTATAAATCAGTATCACTTAGTGGACTATGTCCACATGTATTTGAAAGTAACAAAAACCAATCTCTTTAGTCAATTAAATTAGCCTTCATATAATTTATAAAACAGTCAATATCAATGGAAATACACATCCTAGAAATGGAATTTGAATTGTGAAGTTTTGGGGTTTTTTTTTTACTTTTTAGACCAGTGCACTAGGAAATGATGGTCAGCTTCTGTTAAGGCTGCTATCTGTCTTAGCAAGTGAGCATAGATGACATAAGTAGAAGTGTTACTAAATTGAGGATTCTGAAAAAGATTAAAAAAAGTGTTAGGTTAATAAACTGCATAAAGGGAAGAACATCATTAGGATTTTTTTTCCTATGTTTGTTGTTGTCAGTACAATTTCACAAGAAAGTAGTTCACCAAACAGCTGTGACAGTGGTAAAACTACGGGAAAAAACAACTCACAACTTCTAGTCAAGTAAAAAATACACAACTTCTGTATTGTAAAAGTATGATTTCCCCCCCCCCCCCCAAAAGAAAGCCCACAGGTAGCCCAAAGGCAGTACTTGAAATTCTGGGTTATTCTTTACATTGTAACACAAACTACACTCCTCTAAGTGATGTAGTTTTCATATCAGTAATACAAATTCTTATAGCTCCTGTCTATCTAATTTCAGTCCAAACTAATTTTCCTTCTATTCCATGTGTTCACATATTCCCTCATTTTAGCAGGAGACATTCTTTTTAATTCACAGCCAGTATATACCACCCCAGAGAAAAAAACTCAATAGTTTTCTCAATAGAGAAATAAATAAATCAACCAATACATTAAATTGCCATTTGATATTCTCAAATAATAGCGGAAACTGCTCCTTGTGTGCAGAGGTGTTAGGTACACTAGCAAAATATAAAGGGGAAATCTGCTACAAATGCAAGCCAACTACAGCAGCAAAGGTAAGAGGTGACCACAGGCAAAAATCAGACATTGTAACCACTCAGACAGACTGGAGAAAGTCAGCCAGACTGGATAAAATGCAACACTGGAGAAAGTCACAGCAATATCAGAAAATGCATATACTGAACTTTCAGAGTTACAGAATCCTAATACAGCAAGTCTGGGAATAAGGACAACATAAGAACAAATAAGTAGGCAAAATATTTATTCTTTCAACCCAGAAAATAAAAGCAAACAATTACTTGCCTATTAGTGCATAGTTTTAATCTATGCAACTTTTCCTCATTAACTATCTTCCATTAAGCTCCCATTCCCATAATGCATTACATTTCTTCCATATTTTAACACATTCTTACAACAGGAAATTGGATGTGAAGTATCCATAGCTATACAAACTATCTTGCTTGCACAGTATACTGGTTTATAGATTGTAAGTTAAATAGACACACACTTACATAAAAGTACTGTATTTTTCTTACCTGTAAAAGTATACAATATGCTCTGAGATCATCCTTTGTTCGTGGCCTATGAATGAATGAAACAATAAACATATGGATCCATAATTTACAGACATTAAGAGTAATGAAAACATGGATGATTTTATTTTGCTTTGCTAATATGTATAGAATACCATATTTAAGAATCTTCACTGCTCTCAAAAACTGAAAAGGTCATTTACAGATTCTGACAATTCTCTGAAGGTAGCAGGCTATTTATTATCTGTCTTTTTAAAACATGACAAAAGGCCAAAAAAAAAAGGTCAGAACTGAAGAGTCAGAGGTGTTCCAAAGAGGGAATTCCACATTATTGTCTATCTCAAGTGACACCATGAAAGAGTTTATTTGCTCATCTTTGATATTTCCTGCAAGAATTCTCCATTCACTTCTATCATTGCAGCCTCTGTACTTCTTCATGTTCATCCAGGCTTTTACATAACCACAAACACATACAGGAACAGCACAAAAAGCAGTGTAAGTTGGAGAAAGGGGTAGCCAAGACCTGGGTCACGTGTGAGTTACAGCAAGCCACTGTCCCTTGCTATACCCTTTTATAAATTACACTGTGCATTCTCACTTCATGCCAAGATGTTGCCATCCCCAAAAACCTTCCTGCTTTTGGGCTATCCCCTTCTGCATCCTGCACTGCTCTTTCTGTGGTGCTGCCCCACACAAACAGTATTGTGAAGTAAACTGGGGATCAGGGAATTGTCCTAGTTGCTGTTGCAGAGGTGGACAATGAGAGTAAGTTTTAACCTAGTTAAATTCTTAAATTCATCTCACAATTAAGAAGTCCAAAGAAACGCCCTGGCAACAATCAGCTGAGATTTGGTGACAGAATGCATGGCTGGGTATGGATCTGTCTCTCAGAGGGTTCAATGCCAGCTTACAGAGTTCAAGATGTATTTCAACAGATTCACCAAAAAGAATTAAGTTATTACGTATCAAATAAGTTGCATCACATTTTCTTTTTTTGCCTAAAACAATAAAGATAATACATTTATGTTAGTGCTGCTGGTGCAGCACTGATGCAAATATTTATTATAATTACCCTGTCCATTCTTGCAGTAGACCATTAATTATTCCTTTTAGGACTGACTTCTGAACATCTTGAGGCTATGAAGACAGGAGAGGAAAAATAATATCTGAAGTAATAACACATATTCAATACAAGGTATTGTACAAATAAGCAATTTTGCTTCGCTTGCATTTTAAGACAGCTAAGAAATCTTTTGTGCTATGGTGCTGAGCTCCTAAATATCTTCCTCACAGATGTAGTAGGCGAGTGTGGGGTTGTGCCAATGGTGCCTTTCAACACTTATACCCTGTAAATATAATTTCTAAAATACTCCTGTCCTTTGTATACTATGCACAGGACCTACATTTTACTATTCCCATCCTCACATTTTCTTTACTTCTCACCATGCAGTCCCATCACAGCCATGTAATATCTCTAAGATATGCAATCTTTAAGAACTACCACAGTATAAACTATGCTTCACTTGAAGGAAAAAATTTCCTCCTCTTTTACTGGAGCAGCTGTCATGATTCTATGACAATTCTCATGGGATCATTTGAAGTATGTTTTGAGAGATTCTTCAGAAATCATGCCTATCTGGGAAATAAATTTTGGTATAAATGGTATAAAACATGAATTATTTTTCTCTACTTACAGTATTTAATAAGGCATCATAGACAACATTCACAAAATCTGCATCAATTCCAGAGTCCTCAATGGTATCAAATGGAGAATTGGTATCTTTCTGTAAGTTAGATAATACATGAAGCATTTTGAATATTTTATAGCTATCTTTGAAAATGTAAATTTAACAGCAAGCTTAGGAAACGTGTTCAGATACAAATATTTCCTTTATCAAAGTGTAAGAAGATAAGTTTCCTTAACTAGTATGCTAAAGACAGAGCAAAACAGTAGTAATCCTACACATATTCATATTGTCATTCTATTTTAAAAATGCAAGAGGGTTTCAAGTAATGAATTACATTGAACTTTTATCTCTGTTGTTGATCCATTATCAGACAAAGGCAAGAACATTTTAAGCATTCAGTATTTATTAAATAACTAAAGGTCACAGGTTATTTTGTCCAGCCTCAGATCCTACAATCCATATTAAGTATCGTGAGCATATTTTGCTCTATAATAGGCAGGAAATAATAATTTAGCATGAATTCAGAAACACAAATATAACAGTTCCCTAGGAAAACCAAGTATGCCATCATAACAAATGAACAGCTATAATAGAGCTCATACCACACCTTTTTTTTAGGGATAGGGAATCTCTGTTTCCAAATTTGCCTGGGCCTCTGCATTAACACAGCCAATGTTTTAAAACTGTAATTTGTGTAGAAAGTACCTACACAGTCACAGTGTCACACAAACAAACTACATACTGTAATTTTAAAGCTCCACAAACTTGAAATAAAATTGCTTAACTGCTTAATCAATAAATCAATGCAATAACAGATTGTCCACAAAAGGCAGGTGAGATCATTACAAAATTATCTGAGTGGCCATGAATATCTGGCTGAAAGCCTTTAACAGATATTTTTTGATACATTTTGAAGATACAAAGCACTGTAATTACTAAATAGTATTAGGAATTATTTTCTACCTTAAATGCAGCATTTATCTCCAAGAAAGAATCAAAAGTTGTAGAATAAAAATTATGTACAGCTTTCCAATCTCCCGATGCCTTCGACTTTTCCATATCATCCCTAGAGAAAATATATTGAAATACTGGTAATGGTTTGATCTTGCCAGCCACTTAGACTTTAAAATGCACTATAACTTTAAGCTTCTCTCACTAAGCACACTTAGAAGACAGAGGAGTATAATATCCATATCTTTCTAACCTCTTCCTTGCCATTTAAAGATCATGGTATTATAAGAGAACAAAAGCATCGTTTGTGTTTGATACACCTGAGCTATGTCTTTTATTCAAAATGTTAATTCACAATGTCACAGTTCAGTGTGTTAGGACAAATAATTAGCAGAACAGAATTAAGCTGCAGCTACACTTACATGGTAAAGTTTCTCAGAGTAAGTATGACGGCTCCTAAACGACTCAAATTCACTAGATTGTCTTCAAAATTTTCTTTTAAAATTTTTGAAATAGAACTTAATCTTAGGCACAGTTGGTCAGTCTTAGGTAGTTATTCTTAGACAAGTGATCACTGGTGACAGTCAACGTGGCTTCACAAGGGCAAATTGTGCCTGACAAATTTGGTGCTGGCTGATGATGGAAGAATGATATCATCTACCTGGACACGTGCAAGGCCTTCCTCTGGAAGCTGCTTCCTCGGGCTTTGCTGCAGGCTGTGCAAGACATCTTCAGCATGGGGAAATCCAAACCCAGCTCAGCACAGGGAGCAGCTGCCAACTGAGAAGGACCTAGCCCTACCTGGAGGATGGCAACCGTGGCAGAGGGGAAATGGAGAGGTGGGGATTCAGCTGGGGATTCAAATGGACAGGACAAGGGCTAATGGCTTTAACCTGCAGGAGGGTTGATTTAGATCAGATATAAGGAAGAAGTTTTTTACAAGCAGTGCCAGAGGCTGTCCAGAGGTAATAGTCAATATATAAAAAAATATGAATATGGAAAATTATTCAGTTCTTTGGATCATCTGAATACCAGGAAAGGATCACCTCTGCAAATTTTCCTTTATATCTTTTTTTTCTGTCCCACCAAATACACACTGAATAATCAAAAAGCTTTCTTTTTCCTTCCTGGAAGCACAAAATTTCAAACATAGGAGAAAGAAATAATTGCCAATATAACTAAAACACTTAAGACTGCCAACCTACAATAAGCCATACATACTCTTTTCCAAAACTCAGTGCTCAGTGCACTTCTAATTCTAAAGTATATGTTTTGCCATTTTCTGTGTGGAACAATACTACAACCTAGAAAAAATATTTTGATAGTTTTCACAGTAACAGAGTTATCAATCCTACCATCATAACCAGACCAACTCCTTGCCAGTCATACTGAAACTGTTTCCTGATTTGGGATTAACAAAATCAAACTTATGAATTAGGTCAAAATGAAAAGAATGCCAAAGAAAGGAAGAAAGCACATTTCTAGGAACACCAGTATAACTTACTGAAAATCTTTCATAGTTTTGGTTCGAATTGGAAGGGAAGGTTCAGGAGGAATCGGTGCTTTCGGTTCTTGGGGTAATGCATCCACAGACATGCGCTGCTTTTGCCGGACATCGAGGCAAAGAGGTGGTAGGTCCTTCCCTTAAAAGAAAGATAAAGATGAGAAAATACAATTAATCTAACACAAATAAATTGGTACTAGGAAAAAAAGGAAACCCCAAAATGTTTGATTCTAACTCTTTAAAAAAGTATTTTTCTTTCCATCATGCAGACATGATGGAAAATGTGGCTAACTAATAAAAATAGCAGTGTTGCCCATTACTGTATATCCAATATAGATTGTAAATTTTCATTATACCAACTGCAAAACTGGTGCTCCTTACAGCCAAGAGAAATCTCACTCATGACCATACCAAAGTCCAACTCTCATATAAGGACAAGACTTCAGTCCATTTTTCTACACTGTGATAAAGAATTTTAGCTAGAGATGACAGTGGATCATCTACAGTTTCCATAAAGAATCTCTGGAAAAAACTAAATGGGAAAGGCAAATTTTTTGTCTTACAGAGAATTAGTGGTGAAACAGAAGCATCTTTGAACACTTCTTTTCAATACATTTGGCTACCTATTCTAGTACAATTGACAGTGCTTTGCCAAGGTCTTTCTATTCTACTCCTTCCTTTCTATTTGATCTGAGAATGTTTGATCAGATTAGCATGGCAAGACTTGGCAACAGCTACAGTGAGAGCAGAGATGAGGCTGCCTCTGTGTCCGACACAGCTCCAAAACACACCCACCACAGGCCAAAGCTGTACCCACCAGCGACACTGGTAGAACCCCTGTGACAATATATTTAGGAAAGCATAAAAAAACCTGCACAGCAGCTGAGAGAGAGGAGGGATTAAAAAAAAAAAAAAAAAAGGAAAGAAAGGGAAAAAAAAAAAAAAAAGAAAGAAAGAAACTACCCTACAGACACCCACATCAGTGGAAAAGAAGGAGAAGGAAGAAGGAGGTAAGCCAGGGTCTGGAGCAGAGATTCCCTGCAGCCAGTGGAGAGCCCATGCCTGATTAGGCTGCTGGCAGATTTGGAGAGAAGTTGAGAACAAGGGAAGGTGTGGTAAGCATGGAAGGGGAAGGTGTTTTGAATTGTGCTTCTGATTAGTTTAACTGGCAATAAATTAATATCCTCAAGTTTGTTCTGACTATGACAATAATTGGAAAGTGTACTCCCCGTCTTTATCTCAATCCATGAGTTTTTTAATCTTATTTTCTCCCCATGTCCTGTTGAGGAGGAGAAGCCACAGAGCAGCTTGGTGGGTGTCTGGCAGTCAGCCAAGACAAGCCCACCCAAAACATGAAAAAATATTTCCACTGCATTTCCAACACTCATTTTGACAGTGTCTTCACAAACATCCTCAAACACTCTTACAGTCTGATTTATGCTGCTCATTTTTAAAGGCATTTACATGAATTGTGACATGTTTGGGAAAAAATACACTATGTAAAATAAAAGTGTCCTCAAAAGTCATACATATTTAATGAAAATCCTCTATGAATTGTATAAGACCCCTCTAAGCTCTTTTGAAGGTTTGCTTTTTTTTAAATTAATGAAACATCAAAGCAGCATCACTACACTGCTGCCTACTCCATTTATCACAGCAGGGAAACAGATGCTAAAAATGTCCCATGAATCCAAAAGCAGACTTTTTTCCCCTCACACTCATGAGAGAGTCATTGTCCATGTGACTTAACTCAGCCACCGTTCATGAGGTAACAGCTCAGAGCTGCCCTCAATCCCCTGAGGATGGTATCAATTACTTATATGGAACCTTGTCTGTTCTCACAGATGGAATTTTAACTATTTTAAGATAAGAGTAGCAATTGGAAAAACCAAAGCAGACATACAGATAAAAAATTAATCCAAGCCAAGGTGCCAAGCAGTCCAACCATGCATATGTTCTGCTATTGAACACCATTCTCTGAAAGCAGAATGGACTGATTTTAAAGAATCTAAGAATTTGTCTTATTTTTATACTCTGCGAATAACCAGCTTTTTGATTTAACTCTCATTGTATCTTCTCAATTTTAAATGGATCAAACATTGAGTTATAAGCAGCTGAACATTTTCCTGAAATGAGGAAAATATTCTTTCTACGTCTGTAGAAGAGACATCTGCTGGCAGTCACTGCTCCTCAATTCAGTAAATTGAGGCTGCAGGTGATAAGCTGGTAACTTGCACCCTGTCAGCAATGCAATTTTCTTTGAAATGCAGTTTAATTTACATATACTAAAATTGATTTTTAATAGTATCTTTAACACATATGGTCAGCTTCAGTATGTTTTGTCATCATTCAAGTTTATTTGTACATAGATTTATTTGCTCTTCTGCCAGTAAAGAATACTAATTAAGATCCTTCACTTGAGCTTCATTGAGTAGAAATGGGAAATTTTATTGAGTTGATAAACAGCAATAACACAATAATACAAGACAAGATAAAACAGTAATTTCTGGCTTCTTGCCCAGTTACATCAAGTAAAAGGATTCAGCAATGCCTGAATGCTTAAGGAAATATCAAAAACTTTGGTGAAGAAAATCTCATTGATACAAAGCAGAATTGAGTAATCCAGGGCAGTTCAGAGTAAATGAATGCTGCAATTCTTTTCATTGTGACCAGCACAGCTGCTGGCCAATGAAGATTTTCAAAGGAGATGAAGCAGACAAAACTTACTGCAATTGTAACATTAGAAAAGAACTAGAAAAATCTATTTAGTATATAAATTTCATACCAGATGACTGTTACATTAGAAGACTTATCACATGTGGCACCTATGTAGCACATAAATATCTCCCTACTTTTCATGCTATATTTACCAGCATTAGGTTTTCCACTCTTTTGTTTTCAATTAAATTAATGTTCTTTGAAGCTGACCCTGAAGTATTACCAGTATATACACCTATATATATATACAGCTACACGTGTTCAGAGATAGCACATGTATAGAGAAAGTGCAAAAAGATGCAAACACCAGCCAAGCATTATTGCTAAATGCCAGATTAGCAAAAGCATCATTTTCACTTTATAAATTTGTTCAAATTGTTAATTTTTCCATATAATACACATACTGCCTCAAAATATATTGAATTCACCTTCGACTGATAATAAAAATACTCTGGTTTTACATAGGCAGGTTACTCTGATCCTGAAACTACCACAGCATCTGCTCAATTTTACACACTGAGCTCTAGCTCAAGAATAGATCCCTGACTATAATAAATATTGCCATAGAATAGTGTGGTGAAAATTAACAAGTAACTACTTGTGAGGCAGTAATTACAACTGGGAGAACACCATTTGCAGCAAAATTGAGGGCACTTCAAGAGAGTGGTGTTTAGGGTTTATCATTCTTGCCAGGTACAAAAAAAAAAAAGGATGGGGAGTCAGGGGAGAAGCAGACTTTTGGTATGTTTTGGCACAGTCAGAGAACTCTTTACTGGCCATCTCCAGCCACTGTGGTTTCCTTTGTGTAGTACAAAGCAATTTGAACTAAGCAAAAAAACCCCTGTCTAAAGTATAATTCAAACCTTTTGTGTTTCAGTGATTGCCTTTGTTTTCGAAGTAGGAAGCGCCTCTTTACCCCATAACAAAAACTGTTTAAAAAAAAGAGTCTTGCACTGACTTTTAGTTTTGCAGTATAGCTAACAGGACTAATAAAAGATTGTTTTAGCAAGAATCTAATGCTGCAAGTTATAAACCACCTTTTTCTGCACAACTTTGAAACTGACAATACTTGGTTTCAAAGTCACACTACTGAGATCTCTCAGTCAAGTCTCTTTCTTGCCTCAAATCCACTGAGTGCTACCAAGGCTTAGTGAACCACAGCACAACAAGCCTGAAGGGGACTTCTTCAGAGACAAGATCAATACAAACCTGACAAATGTTTCTAGAGTATTTCATAAATAAAAGTCACAAATTACTGAATTCCTTGCCCAAAAGCCTAATAAAAATTACAGGTCTAACCACAACATCTTCTTATCTAGGCTTCATGATTCTAGCCTACCATACTGAATACAGAGCTACACTTTCTATCTTTCCATCAAATATTGTTACCTTGCCACAGCACAACCACCTTCCTTCTCACTTATAAAGCTATTCAGAACTTCCTAACTGCTGCCTGTGCATTTCACTTTTTGCCATCACTGGCCTTCATCTTCACTGCAAAACACCATCTCTCAGCAACTGCCTCCCTTAAAAGCCTTACACTTGCCTTATTCCCACCATCCTTCAGATAGCAATAAAATAATTTTCTCCAAAGTTCTGACAATTTCTAGAGACACTGATCATTCCATTGAATGATTTCAGATAGACAAAGAATATTTGCAGATAGACTGCCAAATCAGTACCTTTCTTTAAACTTTCAGACTGCCCAATCAGTATCTTTCTTTAAAATTTCAGACAGTTATTCCATTCTCCAGGTCTATTTGTTTTTTCTTATCAAACTTGTCTGTATGACACAACCTCTACTGAGCATGGGCTATTGTATATTTCACTGCCTGTACAATGTACAACACAGCATAATTTAATGAAATCTAGATTTTCAGATTTTCTGGCACTACCACAATAGAAATACTGGCAGAAAATTGAGCACCTTCTAAACTTGGTAACTAAGTAACACAGGTCTTTTTTTCTCTTACCGTTTTTGATGTTGGGTATAACAAGTTGCGTAGGTGAATTTCTGTTTCCGATGCCTTCTTTCTTTTGGTTGATAGTTGTGATGAAATTGCTGAAAGTGGAAAACTGATTTTTGGCTCCTTCCTCCAACCCCTGTAATTAAGATGACAGTATGCTCTAAAGGGCTAATACATTACCGCTAGAGTAATCTTCCTAGTGAAGTTATTACACAGAATTCTTAAATACCTTTTAAATCAGACTGGTAATAACTGAATAAAACATAAATAATGATTCTGCAAGTTTGTTTCAAATTGATTCAGGAGAGGTACCATACAATTCCTTTCAATTACATAAAAAAACTCAAGTATTAATTTGTGGGATATGAAGATATCCTTGGATTTCTGTGAGGAAAACACAATACAATTAGGATGCTGTCAATAACATTCTAACTTTCTGTATCCTAGTGTCTACTTTTATAATTCTCACTACATCCAGCTCAGTTTAAACAGAAGAAAGTGTCACACATTGCTTTTTCCAAATAGCCCTAATATATTCAAGTAGTTTAGACAAATTTTCCAAGACTGGAAATGTGGCCAAAAATTCCAACCTGTAAAAACAGTTCAATACTGACTACCTGGGTAAAACTCCCTAATGATTCAAAATGGTCAGCATGTGCTGCCACTGAAGAAAGACTGACCAACAAAACTTGGTTAACAAAGTGGTAAAAGACTCCCTGCTTGAGCACCTGTTCATGCTGTCACCAAGGAGCCTGCACAAGTCTCTGCTAGGAAGTGTTGATCACTAATGTGCTCTATCAGCAAGCAGAAGTGAAATCACACATCAGACTTCCAAAGGATTGTGCCAATTAGTCCGTTGGCTAATCAGCACTGGGTGCTATTAGATATAGTTATTTACTACAGAATCTACAAAACATAGGTGAGGTTAAGAGGCTTGTCCAAGATGACAGAAGTCTCATGATGAATATTTTAATTTTCATCTCAGTTCTAAGTCATCAATTGATATCAGGTAAATCAACTCAAAAAAATATACACACACTTCCTGCACATCATGATTTTCAATCTCACAGTAACCTAAAGACTCATTTTCCTGATACCTGGCATTTGTACTCTCAGTTAGAAAAATGTTTCCATACAAATCAAAACTTTAATTCTGCAAATGAGAATATACATTCCCATGTAATATCCTGTCAAAATTTTTGAATCAGTACATTTCCCTTTTTCCTTAACAGAAATACATTTAAACTAAGACATGCAGAGTTCTAAGGAAAGCACTTCACTTTCACCACATCCTGAAAAAACACCAGAAGAGTAATAATACAGCCCATAAACCTACCACACCACAGTGTATACAAGCTGGTACACTGCCAGAAATTTTAAACAACTGTGGCTATACAGCTATTTTTTCATGGCTCATAACTCACTAAGCTGTAAATTTGAACAATCATCAGGACTTCTTGCTTTAAAAAAATCAAATTTCAATTTATAAAATTGGTATTTTTACCAAATTTCAATTTCTAGTTCCAAATTCCATATACGCAAGAAACATTCCAAAATAAAATGCAATTACCAGTGTAATTTTCAGATTAACATTTCTTTTCGGTTTATAACCTTTGAAATATCATTAAGATTATTCTTAAAAGTCATCTAGCACATGACTGGAGAAAAACAGACCCTGTACAAACATTAGTGACTGAAAAAGAACTTTTAAAAACTCCAGATCTGAGGTTAATCGGCTCTGTCACAAAATGTGTGCTCCAGGCAGAAAAGCCATGAAGCACAGATTAGTCTAATTACAATTAATAGGGAATAGATAGCAGAGATAATTGAAAAAAGGAGTATTTGTTAAATAAATTATTGTGACAGCCTTTTTGACTGACTTAGCGTTCTAGGTTTTACTCCAGCCATGTCACTGAAATACTACAGGTGAACAGTTTCTTAAAAACTTTCTCCTTACTGCCACCTCCCTCAGCAGTGATCATAAAGAACAAAAACTGCATCCCCTCTTTAACTCCATCATCCTGTTTCAAGTACAGTTCCAACAATATTAGACAAACATATGAACAAAGACTTTATTGGGAGGCCCTGGAGGGAAACTTCATTCTCATTAATGACAAATTCTGACAACCCCTGAGGGAGCAATCTAGGGCAAGTGCACAGCACCATGTCATATTTTAAAAATTTGTAGGAGGTCACTGAGCTTTTAGAACCTATGACTCTACAAGCACACTGCCACCAGGAAACTGAACATCCACCATCGCCCTCCCACCCACCAAAAGGAATGAATATGCTTTGAGGGAGTAAGAGGATCAAAGTAATCTTTAGTCCTGTTTTAAGATCATATTAATAACCCACAGCTCTGCTGGCTTCTTAGTGGAAGTCTTCCAAAGTACCAAGCCCTCCATAGGACTGGAGAGCTACTAGCATTATACTTATAAAACTGTATTTTTCATTATTGAAGTTAAATGAAATGGTGAAAACATGTCAAAATGTTTGCAAAGAGCACATACAGACTGCTTTCTTGGAAGGGACAAGAGATCATCTAGAAGAGCTTGTGGAAAATCCTGTTAGTCCAAACACTGCTTACTCAAGACCCTTATGTATATGGCAAGCAAAGACTAGCGAGGACAAAAAGATTTTCTTCCCTGTGCAAGAAGACATGGAGGACACTCAGATTTCCAAAAGGCATCTGACAGTGCAACAGGTTGCACTAGAAGCAGGATTTTCCCTTCCACTTGTAGCTTGAAAGGTGTAACTTTGGACTGTTCTTTTTTTACAGAAGTCTCTAACTGTTCCTATTTATTAGGGAGGAAATTACTTAGCTTTCCACAAATTTCCTTCCAGAATCTGAATGCTGACACCCAAACTATCACCTCTTTGGGGATAGTTTATGACATTTCTCCACAAAACTCCCTCTCTATCTCCACCCCCTTGAACCCCACATAAGGTAAATGACACACAACCGCACCCAGCCAGCTCTGAGCTCCTCCGTGGCAGGTCCACTTACACAGCTCCTGCCTGTGGGTGACACTTCAGAGGTACATGACGGATGTCCAGCTACAAAGAATTCTCCTGATTCTTTAAGGGAGCTGGAATTCTACATGGCCATCCAGGGGCACACATTTTTCATTCTAAGCCTGACACATTTTAGGCCAGCACTTGTATCTTTATTCCAAGGGACTGGCTTTTACCATTCAAAGTGTAAGGTGGAGATATTCAAAGGTAAAAAAAAACTCCTGAGCACTCATCCATTACAGACTTCTCCCACCAAATTGATATTTGAATCACAAGAATAAACATATTCTTGCACATTCTGACAAAGCTGAAAGTCTTTCAGAAGATTGGAACATGTAGGCAAAACACAAAATTGGCAGAATTGCTCCAAGGAGTTTGCATACAATTGCTTAGTTTAACATCACAATTATTTCCTGACAGGCATAAATATTATATGGGCAATCTTTTAAATTCAAATTATGAATTTAAATAAATGATAATTTAAATGGTAACTTCTAATAAGTCCGATGCCTATCAAAACCGCTGAACTAAAATCTCCTAAGTGCATTACTACAGGATCAGTAACATTTTTATTCCATTGTTGGACTGAAGTAACTTACACAAGTTCTATTGTTAAGTTATGTAAGATACCCAACTCGTGTCAGGAAAATTTTATGTTCTGTAATGTATGGCCAGCAGAAAGAAAAGCGCAACTTTGGTATAATTAAAAAACCAGAAAAAAGGTTTCTGAAAGAAAGTTATTCCGGCAAATACCCTTTTCCCATTTTTTTCTCTGCATTAATTCATTCATCATTTAATCAAAATGTTCTATGATCTTTGCTTCAAAACAAAAACAAGGAAAATATTTTTAAACAAAAAGTCAAAAATACAGAACTATTTCCCAGCTACCTCTCTTGCCATGAAGTGTATTAGAGCTGAAACCCTCCACCCCCGAGAACCCTTAATGAACATTCACAATGCTGCAAACCCTCAGTCATGACTAACCCGACAGAGCAGACCGTCGTAAAATGTTAACTATAAGTGGATGGAGAATTTATAGCTTCATTATGTCATTGCTTACAGATGCACTTGTTATTTTTAAGAAACTTGAATGAAAGCCTCTCAGCGGAAAGGAACATGAAAGAAAATGAAGACGATGATTCCCCCCTTCCCTTTCTCCTCCCAAAAAAAGCGGCAAACACACCAAGCGAGCGCGGAGTGGCACAGGCGGGCCCGCGGGCAGCCGACGGGACTTACCCCGACAGCCGCGGCGGACGCCGACGGGATGGGCGGCAATTTCTCTCCCTCCTTTTCCTTTTCTTTTTCCTTTTCTTTTTCCTTCTCCCCTTCTTCCTCTTCTTCCTCCTCCTCGCCGCCCTCCTGGGCTGACGGGGCCGCGGCGCTGCCCTGGCTCAGCTCCGCTCCGGGCGGATGCCCCTCGCCGGGGCCGGGGGGCAGCTCGGCGGCGGCCGGCGGGCTCTGCAGCGACATGGTCCCGCTGCCGGCAGCCTCTCAGCGCCGTCGGCTCCCGCGCCCTCCTCTCCTCCTGCCTCCGCGGAGCCCCCGCGGGCACCCTCAGCTCCGCCGCTCCGCTCGGCCGCCGCGGCACTGCAGCAGCCGCGCTGCTCCCGGGCGCCCAGACACCCCCGCACGGCGGGGCGGAGCGCAGCGCGGCGCAGCCCGGCCGCCCCCGCCGCGGCCCCGGCGGGCAGGGGGAGCGCGGGACGCGGCGCGGCGGAGGCGCCGCCGGAGCCGCTGCCCGGGAGCGCCCTCGGCCGCCGCGCCGCCTACAGCCCGCGGGCAGCGGCGGGGGCCGCCGCCGCCATGCTGCTCGTGGGCGGCTCGTGGAAACGCGCCCGGCGGCCGGGGCGCGGCGCGGGGGGAGCGGGGACACGGCGGCGGAAACTCCGCGGCGCAGCAACCGGCGCGGAGCTGCGGCCGGCCCGGCGCAGCCGCCCTGGCCAGGGACGCCGGGCCGGGTGTGGGGCACTGACGGGACCCGGGAGTGGCGACGAGGAAATAGACGAGTAATAAACAAATATAAACATTAATATAGAATATATATAAAATATTATAGATAAAATATGTATAAATATATACAGCTGGGTGAAGGGCCCTCGGGGCGGATACCGCTAGGCACGGCCGCGCCTCCGAAACGCCGGGTGGTGCCGGGCGCTTCTCGCCTGGCACAGGCCGTGCCGGCAGGGGCACCTCCCACACCGCGCCGGGACCGTGCCCGCGGAGCTCTCGCAGCGCTCCGGGGCCGTGCCCGCGGAGCTCTCACACCGCGCCGGGACCGCGCCGGCGGAGCTCTCACACCGCGCCGGGGTCGTGCCGGCGGAGCTCTCGCACCGCGCCGGGGCCGTGCCCGCGGAGCTCTCACACCGCGCCGGGGCCGTGCCCGCGGAGCTCTCACGCCGCGCCGGGGCCGCGCCGGCAGGGGCGCCTCTCACACCTCGCTGTCGCCCCACTGCACGTTCCTCGCCGCTTCGGATCACGCTCCGACGAGAAAATACAGAAATCGTCGAATCATTAAAGTAGAAAAAGCCCTTCGAGATGATCGAGTCCAACCTTCGACCAAATAACACCGTGCCCACTATACCATATAGGTGGAGTTAAAGCCTTATTGCGAAGGACTGCACCGTATCATGAGGAAGGAACGTGTAACGAATGTGTGAGCCTGGCCCGGTCTCTGATGGCAGAGCCAGAGCGGTGCCAAGGCTGTGCTGTGGTCGGTCCTGGCCCCACTTTGGGCAGGTCTCGGGCAGTACCCGCAGCCAGAGCCTCAGTGAGTCTCCCTGGCTGTGCTGAGCTTTGCTTGAGTGTGTGAAGAAATACCATCTTCAGAAGAGGCGCTGTGTTGAACTGGTTGCAAGACAAAATCTAGACCGAATGTCACACATACTGGCTTGGTACTGACCCGCAGCTTGGCTTGGTATATGAAGCTGCAGGAGCCCTGCTGAGTGAGAGGGGGACAATGTTGTGTACTCTAACCTACATCCAATTTAAGCTCTTCAAACCACTAGCTGCCAGATGAAACAAGTTGCCTTCAGACCACTCTAATTTTGTGTCTGAAGAAGAGTTTTTCTCCCAGCTTCAGGAACAGAGTGTGAATAGCATTACAGACCATGTGAAACAAATTTTCAAAATTGTTTTTCAGGTGGAGAAAAACCACATTATGGTTTTTCTGAGTATTGGCACTACACAAGTAGGTCCTGCAGGAGCAGTGGGAAATATTTCTGTAAGAGTCATAAAAGCAATGGCACAATAGGTACTGCAGTGTTAATCTAACACACTGAAAAAGGCTTTTCCTTTCTGAAAGAACTGGCAGACCTGGAGTTTTTTAAGGTTTCGTTAAGAAATGGCTTTGTTTCCTTACCTAGTTAAATATGAGATCTGGTTTTCCAAGAAGTTCACTCTCCTTGCTGTGTTTACTTCCCAGTGGCTTTCAGCAGTTTGTATGAATAAGTGGCCTGTTGCACTTAAAACAAAGCCCCCCAAACATTCACTCATCTTTTCCCTTTCCATGCCAAGAAACAACATAATGATAGTAATTTCATCAGCTTCAGTACAAGCAGCTTTACACCCAGTGGCAGTCCCCAGCTAGAAATAATTGGCACAACTGTTTTGTGGAGCTGTGCCAGCTTGAAACATGGAAGGATTTGCTCCATTGAGCGTACAAAGAGAGACAAAATAAAGAAAAAAATATATGTAGAAAGGCAAGTATAAAAGCAAATTAGTATTTTTTCAGTTTCATTGAGCTATAAAGGCCTGACTTTTGACAGTGTCAAAAACACGGAAATAAATTTCTACCAAGATTATCTCACAAAAAAGCTAATGTAACTTCAGAGACATCAACTTCTATTGTCCATGCTCTCCTGCACTATTTGAAGCTGAAGTGCTTTATTGAACTAAACTAATTCAAGTGAATATTTTGACTCATGACAATTGTGAAAATAGGCACAAAGAAATTCTTCCTATTTTTGTAAGAGAGCAAAATGACCATATACTGAACGAGCAAACATATTTTCTTACTTTTAACTAATGTAGCATACATCTGGTGCCCAGGTTGAAACTAAAAGTATTTCAATATCATCCATAGATCTACAAGGGAGTCAAAGATATAACCACAGCTGGGAAAGATGTATCTAAATAGGCTTTCAGTTGTCTAGCATGGATGGATGCTAGCTGGGAGCAGCAGTGCTGCATGTAATGAGGTGATGCATGTAGACCCTGCAGTAATTTGTTGTCAAAGTGATGAATTGGGATAGTGGGCAATGGAATAGTAAGAAAACAGGATAAAGACATTCTAGCAGTAAGATTTGTGGGATATCCCACATACACAATTTTCAAAACTAAACAGAAGTATGCAACTGCCATTCTACAGGCTTCATGAATTTGTTGGCCAGATGGCCTGGGAGCCTTGACAAAGGGCCAAACACATTCAAGGCCTGTATTTCTAAGGACACTTTCCTTGTCTCTTGTAAGCTGCTTAAAAATCTTAAATCACATGCTGCCAGCTACTTTACTGAATTTTTTGGTGAAAGGGGGCAAGTTAAAGTTCAGCTGAGAACTGTTGCTCATGCCCAAGTACACGTTGGCTGTGCCTGCAGTTCTTTCTGTTCCCGGAGGAGTCTGAGTCTCGCTCGACCCCATGCTGGCACACCATGCTGCTGGCTCAGACAAACATATGCACACTGCAGTATCACCCCTAAATAACTGTGGGGGCACACAGGCAGCATGTGACCCTGGACAGATTTTCCTGTACTTAGGGAAGAACAGTCCTGCCTCAGCAGGATGTTGACCTTCTAAACTGGAATAAGACCTTCTTGACACCTTATTTTAAAATACTTCACAAATATTCTGTTCTATCCAATGAGTTTGAGTTGTCAGGAAGGGGGAAAAGTCACCGACACATTTCTGTGCAATGATGTGGCCAGGCATAGACCAACATTAGGAATGACAGATGGAACCAGACCAAATGCTAACATTTGTTCACAAATGATTAGTAAATGCTTACAAGTAATAGATGCACTCACAGAGACTGGCATTTAGGAGTGAGACACAAATATAAAAAATAAAAAGGGCTAAATTCCCTAGTATCGTCATGACAAATACTGACTGGATCTCACTTTTTTCTCTGCAGTCAGAAGTCAAATTCAGCTATAGCCAAAATTGTCCCTGGTTTAATTCAGTAACATTAGAGGATAGGTTTGGGCTGTTATGGGATATTCCCTGATCCTCAAATGATTTACTAGTGTTTGCCATCAAATGGTGTCAAACGTCCCTGTGCAAACTGGTATTTCAGGAATCGAAATGACACGTGTCCTTCAGAAAAGGTAGGCTGAATTTTCCCATTCAGTTGCTGATGTACTCCCATCTGTACTGTGTCTCTCTTCTGCAGTAGTACTGTTTCCTTCTCTTCATGCCTTTTGAAGGTCTCATACACTTCCCAGTATAAAATATTTGGGTTATTTAAGAGATGTGTCCTTTGTGAGATGGACCCTGAGTGGGCACGAGGGGAAGCACAGGATGGCTGAAACATCAAAAGAGGAAGCAAAGGCTGCAGACAACCCATTTCCTGTCTACAGGAGTAGGAGAGAAAGAAATGGCTGGGAGTTTTCCAACACAACAGGTTTTCAGCAAAACATTCTGTTTCAACAGAAAGATCTGATTCATTTACATGGAAATGTTTTACAAAGAAGCATCTTTCTCAGTGACCCATTAGCAGAACTCAGGCAAGATGCCACTGAAATCCACCTGTTACTGTGCCGACTCAGTTAGAGAGCTCACCACACTTGCCATGTGAATCACAAAATGAGAGATGCTGTAGCTTCTGGACTCCCTGGCCTGCTAACTCCCAAGCTGTGGTGCCCTCCTGTGCTGCCTGCCCACATCATCCTTTAGGGGAGATGGAAGTGTGGGTCTGCTCACAAGTCATGACTGTTCTGAGACTGCACAACCTCAGAGCTTGTAAGGGATTACCCCAGTTTTGTCCAATCTCCCCTTTTTGCAGCCACTTGTTTCTCTTGAAGTTGGACTAAGGTGTAAATTTGAAGAATTTTGTTCAAGAGAGTCCAAATTATTGTGAATCTATCTGCTATTCCTATTAAGCTAGTCCATTTATATTTGTTATTCTTGCTGCAAGTTTGAAAATATGTCAACCTTGAGCTTGGCTTACTGTTTTAGTCTCTGTATCATATGCCTTCATTTGCAAGAGAGAAAAGCTCCTTTTATTCCAGAAGCACATGTGCAAGGTGCACTCAAACCCTCCTAAGCTAAGTCCATGTTATTTCCCCTATGACTAACATTAGATTAATCTATTGCTCTCACTAACCCTTTGGCTATCCTTCAGTACTTGAAAAGTCTCATTTAAAAAATAAAATTATAAACATTTATAAAGAAATGGTGCAAATAACTTGGATAATCATCTGAAGCACTTACATGCAGGTTGGGTTGTCTTGGCAGACAATCATATCTCTTTGGCAAATGGTAAACGTTTGCTTGAAGGTATATCACTAGCTAGGATGCATCCAGCTTGGGCATTCCTAGTACAGAGAAGGAAGAGGTAATCACAAGTTTTGTCTTATTGGCATAATTACATTTGCACTTTGAGTTCCTTGTCATCACTGACTGGTGAAGTATAACAGCTGTTCCAGCCAAATTAAAAAGTCTTATGGACTGTGGT